CTGTCGCTACAAGCATGCTTAGTGTGAGGGATTGCTGAAGAGTCAATGAGTCGATGCAATCAGCTGGTTTTTTCTTAGGTAGAAAACTGAATCAGTTTGACTATATGACTTGGTGAAGTTTAAAGTGCCTTGACATGACGTTTGTTCTGACTTGGCGCTATAGAAATAAACTGAACAGAACTGAACTGAATGCAGAAAAAATAGAAGTCATCGTCTTTGGACCAGAATCTCTAAAAAAGAAGCTGATTAGTCAGTTTTTTTCATCAGAGGGTGTCTGTCTGAGCTCGCTGCTGGACGCCTAGAACTCTGAACCACCTGAGGATTCCTGGAACCTTGGATCAGTGAACTGTCCGGTTCTGAACTGTTTCTCTGACCTGGATCGGTGTGCCTGCTCACTGGGTTTGCTGCATTGGGGACGGATCTTGTTTTGCGGTGCATCGGCTGGATCTTGCCTTCCTCAGAGAGGATGGACTGAACTGTTAAACCAGGGAGTCAGTGATTGGGAGGTGCCCCGCCCCCCCCCCTGCAGCCACTGCGGTCCAATTATCCTCAGCAATCCATGTCCCGTTCTGTTTTGATATTTTCTGCAGTTAAACGTTCCAACCATTAAAAAAATAACAATAATTGAAATAAAATACCGTGTTTAGAACAGCCTGTGTGTGAAGCTATAATGAAAAGCTGCTGATCGCCGCGGCCCTCAGAGGGTTTCTGTGCTCCCTGTCGACTCCTCTGTTCCTGGAAAGAACTTGCTCCCCCACACTTTGCAGAACTCCCACTGATATGTTTATGATTTGCAAACTCATATTAATCTGCCAGAGAAAGTAAACTTCAGCCTAAAAGCCAACAGCTCCAGCTGTTTATAAACCAAACTGTGGACAGACGGAGCAGCTGGGGGATCTGCAAACCAGCCCTGGTTATGCTGCTATGTCAGAGGATCTTTGTTGAACAATCTTCATATTCCTGCAGCTAATGAGTCCCTGAAGATGTTCAGATCAGCAACGCAGCATTAAGACAGATCAGAAGAGGAAAACATGTCATCCAGCTGGAAAAACCGCTGTTGACTTGGAAAAATAATCCATATTTACATCATCTCCTGCCGATTTATTGCAGCAGCTGTTGGCTTAAAAAATGAGGGAAGGTTGATCAACTTCTAATGTTGCCAACAGGAAGATTATTCATTTATTGGTAATCGGTTTGTTTTCTTGAACATCAGCCTCTGATCTTCTCTTGGTTGGCCCTGTGAACTCCAGACTCCTCCGGCTGTAACATCATCAGGCCGTTTCCATCACATTAAGGTGAAACGGGGTATGAGAGAGGAGAGAGACATGCGGCAAACGACCTCAGGCCGGATTTGAACGTGTCGAGCACTAAGGCCTCCATACATGGGTCATGTGCAGCAACCCTACGCTAAACACCAGATTTTCCCCATTGTGGAACAATAAAGGGATTTTCTATTTTATTCTAAAACATCAAAATCTTACGATCTGCTTGAGGATGGTTCCCTCGACGTTCGGCATGCCAATGCTCAGAGGAAGTTGGTATCCGAACCCTCGACCAAACTCGACCATCTGCAGCTGCGGGGCGTTACGGACGCCTTCCAGAGCGACGACGAGCAGAGCGCTGATGTCTGCAAAACAAACAGATAAATGCCCGATTAACTTATGAGGAGTTACCATGGCAACATCAGCGTTAATCCAAGTCCGTGTTTACTTGACTTCCGCAGCCTGTCAGATTCGTTCTCCAGTAACATCACGTCTTCATCAAGTCCGTCTGAGAAGATCACCAGCACCTGGAGGAAGATGGTCACAGTTTGAAGTAACGCTACTCCTCCAAATGCAAGAGAGGAACTCCGATACTGAGGTCAGTTAGGTTAAAATAATCCAATCTGAGGAGAATAACGTGAACTCCTAAGAACAGTTTTCTTCTTCTTCTTCTTCTGATTGACTTACAAACATCTTCAATCTGCTGTGTTTCCTTCCTCCCAGGATGGAGCTCGTATTTATTTCAGTTTGAGGAAAACATGAGTGGGAACCAGGACTTTGTAAAAAGACATGAGTTGATCAAAACAGGAACCAACAGGTTTTTTTTTTACTTTAGAACCAGTTGATCAGAAATTAAACCACATAAATATTCATAGTGGTGAAAAACTAAGTACACCATAAACTAAATGTTTAGTTTGTGCCCTAAATTCACCAACAGGAACATATTAACGATGGAGTCTGTTGGAGTTATTATGATTTCTGTTGTTTTTATCATTTTATTCATTTATATCTTTTTTATTGCTTTAAAATCATTTGTTTTTCTATGGTACTGTCATCAGTGGAAATAGTGTATGCAGGTCATAAGACGGTCAAATGTTTTGCGAGAATGAAGCACAGAAGTTCCTGCTTTTCATTTGAGAAGCACAGAAAGGAAAGTTCATGACCCCCGACACCTTTTTTAAAAGCGTATACTGAAACCAGACAAGTTCCCCATCTTAAAGGTTCATGCTATGTCTAAGAGATTGCGTAATCGAAACTAACGCCTGCTGTTGTAATGTGTTGACTGTTCAATAAAAAAGCCTGCAAGCGTGGAGCAAGACGAAGATGCACAGAGTGATCCTAAAGCTCTGTGTATTTTCCCTTTGCAAAGCCCGGTCAGGAAAAATCTTACACTGTCTTTGTTTATTTCTTCATAGGTTAAAGTTGGGGAAACTTAACAACCCTAACAGTGTCCAGATTAAAAAAATATTTAAATTGGAGCTCAAGTTTCAAAAATTGAATTATTAATTTGGTATATCGATAAAAAGAGAAAACTTTGAATCAATCTGACTGGATGATCTGGTGAACTGGAAAGTGAC